TGCCCTCCCTGTCCCCTTGCACGGCGTATCCACGACCACCTCCTCTCACTGCAGGTCAGCAAGGCAAGGGCTGGGAGCCGCAAGCCGCGGGAGCGCCTTCGGCCCTGGCCGCAGCGAGGAGCCTCGGACGCAGCATCTTCAAACGCTAATTCACCTCCTGGGTGGCAGGTGCCCTCCCGCACAGCAGCCTGGCTCTGGGCTGTCCCTCATCACTGCCTACGGCAGCACTTTTCGGGGGCACAGGCACCCCTCAGGCAAGTACCCATGCGTTTGCAGGTCACGTCGATCCTCCAGCTCCGACCCCTTGTGAGGAAGTGACTGGCTTCCTCCGCAGCAGGGCCACCCAGAGCGCAGGGCCGAGCAGAGGCGAGACCCTGTCTCCCCAGAGAAAACCGCTCCCAAGAACAAGGCAGCAGGCAGTTTTTGGGAAAGGAGACTTTAATCTGCTCAGTATCTAGTCCATAGTGCAAAGAGTTAACCTTAAGGCAAAGCTTTCTCTCTTTGTTTATAAACAGCAAACAAACAGGCCCTAAAAAGACAAGCGTGACTGCTACCATAGAAAGGGGGCTTGAGGGGAGAAACTGCAGTCCTGGGAAGGTGTCCTTCCTTCCCTGAAAAAGCACCTGGGGAACCCTGCGCCCCAGCACCCATGAGCTGTCCCCAACCAAACACTTCTGCCCGCAGGCAGGAGCACGGCCAGCAGCCCCACTCCCAGGTGCCTCCAAAGGCGCGCGGTGGGGAGGGTCCAGCTGCCCCGCTCCTCTTGAGTGAGGACCCCCGCAGGAGCCCAGGGCAGGGACCAAGCCCCTGCAGTGCCCTCCCCAGAGCAGCGCCGCTTTCATCAAATGTTTTCCTTGCCACAGCTTAGGTTTGCAGCGAAAAGGCGTCTCCCGGCATGGCCTGGCCTTGCTGCCGCCTCCACTTGGACTTAGATCACTTATCAATTATTAGTTAACAGGAGCAGTGAGGAAACCACGCCAGCTGCCTGCAGGCTCTTGGCTTGTGATCGAGGCGTTGAGGCTCTTCCCGATTTAAGTGCTCCAGCCAAAATTGGCTCTGGAGCACGGCTGACCCCGGGCAAGCAGCTGGAAAAGGGAGAGCTTTTTAATGCAAGGCCCTCTTGGAGTCCAGCAATTTCTTGGAATGGTGCTGGTTGACCAAGCTGGGACAAGCCGTCTCAGCTCTCCCCAGCCAGCAGCCGATAGTATGGTTTGACTTCCGGGGACACTTTTAAATAAAATTAGTTGCATTTCACATTTCAGACAGGCAGTAAGACAGAACAGCAGAGGAACCTTGCTGTAATCAAATACAGCTGGGGTCCCAGTACTGCTGCACGTACACAACTGTGGATCCACAGCGCAGCCGTGCAGCACTCGTACCAGGAACTGGAATGTCTCAGTGGGCTCCCAGGAGGATTGGGGGTGTCCCCTCTCCTCCCAGATGGTCGCTCGCTCTAGCCCGCCCAGCCTGGCACGCAGCAAGCTTTGTTATGAACTACCCAGCTCCTTGGCAATCCAAGTCCGGAGGCCGGGCTCTAAAATCTGTATTATCTAGGGAGGATTCTCCAGCATTAGCTCACACACGCGCTGCTGCTACCGAGGTTAGGGCAGGGCTGTGCGAACGCGGGCCACCTCCCGGGCTCTCCAAGCAGCACCACTGCCTCTGCAGAGAGAGTAACCCCCCCACCCCCTGGCCCACATGTGAGTAACCTGGTATGTGCTCATTATTCTTGCATAGGTGACACATGGAAGCAGCAGCAACACTGAGCTCTGCAGCTGGCCAGCCTGCAGGGAGCCCGCGTTCTCTGCAGCTCCTCACTATCCCAGCAAGGGGAAGAGGAAGATCAAAACCAAAAGCCACAGTGGCTGGGATACCCAAGTATTGCTGTGGCCCCAGAAATCCTGCTGTTCTCCAGCTGGGAGCCAAACTCAGCCCTTTGGTAGCAAAGCCTAAAAACTGGAGGGTGCTCATGGCTTGCCTAGGGCCTCCCAAAAGGGGCACATTGCTCCCTTCCCTGGGAGTTGGTTTGGTGGGAGGGGGAAGGACAGGTATGAATGGAGTCTGCCAGGTAGTTTTCAGGCAGCTGCTGGCCAAATCTTGGCAGCAAAGCCCTCCTTTGCTTTGCGCTAGCCCTTGTGATTCCCAGGAGGTCATGAAGCTTTCCACCAGCTTTGGCTAGGAGGGACCAGAGCATCTTTCTGAGCTCTGCTTTGGATTTCAAACTGCTGTAAGCTCAAGGCAACAGGCCCTGAAACAGCAAATGTCAACAGAAAAAGATAACTCTTTTGGCCTGCTGCAGAGATCAGCTATTGTGCTTGCTAGCGACAGCTACAGGCTAGTTACAATTACCAATACCAAGTGTGGCTGACAGACACCCCCAACAGCCTCTTCCCCTTTCAGCATCATCCTTAGCTCTTTGGAAAACTCGAGGCAGCACTGGGAAGAGTGATTCTGCTTCCAGGTGAGAGGCAGCAACAGGGATGGTCCTTGACCTTCTGGAAAAACAGCCCAAGCTACTCGCTCCTGGGTTCACAAGTACACATTGAGCGTCTGCAGGATCATCTGGCGACACAGCGGGCAGTTGCGCTGGTAGATGGCCTGCTGGAGGAGGACTTCTGTGCACTCCTGACATAGGCACAGGTGCCTGCAAGGCAGGAGCAGGACTGTCTTGGTTTGGTCTTGACAGATGACACATTTCTTACGTTCCTCTTGTTCCTTCAGGAGCATCCAGGGGTCATCGTCCAGAGCAGCCTCACCATCCCCAGCTGCTGCGTTCAGCTGCCCTCTCCTTGGAGCTTTCCCCCAGGAGGTGCTCGGTTCTTCCCTGGGTGCCTGGAGACGCTGTCCTGTAACAGTGCTTCGACTCAGAGCCGGGCGCGCATGTGGTACCTGCTCCACGTCTGGCTGGTCCTCGTGCTCCCCACCTGCCAGCTGGCCGCCCCCTGCCAGCACCCCCCTGCCAGGAGCTGCTGGTCTTGAGGCAGGCATGGCTGCCCCTCGCTGATTGCTCGCCTGGTTCATCGTTCTGCCTCCTCTGCTCCAGTTGGCCACCTGGAGACTCCAGTCCAGCAACCTGCGCCAGGCCTGAGAGGTCATGACCATGCCCAGCGTCAGGAGCGCCACCTGATAGAGCCGCCACGCATCCCTCTGCAGGCGGTGGTAGGATGGCAGCGTGTTCAAGTACCCAAGCACATGGCCTGCCAGCATCCACAGCAGCCCGGGGTTGAAGACAAAAGTGCTGACGACAATAATAAGGATGAGCAAGACCAGGCCATAGATATTCACAAAGAAGACGTTGATCAAGAGCTTGGTGATGGAGGCCAGGATCTCGAAGGCCAGCTGGCAAGGCGACCACAGCAGAATGGACACGGCGATGGCGCTGCTGGAGACATGCGCGAGGAAAGCGGCCAGGAGGTCGGTGACTCTCAGGAAGGGGCTGACGATTGAATCCCACAGGGCCACCAGCAAGGTGAAGAGGTTCTGCATGCCGATGAGGCACATGTTGATGATGCTGTTAACGAAGTACGCGAGCAGGCTCATGCCAATGGCCAGGCCCTCGCACACCTGCCTCACCAAGGTCTGGCCAGAGCCGAGCAGGTTGCAGAGCCCGCGGTGGAGCAACTCCTTGCTCCGCAGCGCCAGATGAGAGAGGAGGTGCCCCACCACCTTGAGCCCCTCCAGGCTGGAGCAGCAGCTGCGCAGCAGGCCGGCAAGGCCGTGCACGACACCCAGCGCCAGGTAGCACGCCGCCTCGGCCAGGGACGCCAAGCAGAGGAGCAGTCCGTTCCAGCAGGCGAGCGCGCTAGCCGCGGCGCGGCGGG